CCTTCCCTTCCACCCTTTCATCCTTCCTTATCTTTCTTCCTTCTCTCCCTCTTTCTCCTCCCTTCCTTCCCTTTTGTCTTCCCTTCTCTTTCCTTTATCCTTCCCTTCCTTCCATCCTTCTCTTCCTGTCTTTCTTCCTTCCTTCTCTTTTTCCTTCTTTGCTTCCTTCCATCGTTCCGTTCCACCCTTTCATCCTTCCTTCCTTCACTCTGAAGCCATTCTTCCTAGCGGGGAGCACTAGCATGCAATCCCCAAGTTCAAAAGTTTGCCCATGCCTGCTTTAGAGGCATCCGAATGTCCACACTGAAGATGAAATAGAACTGTGAAATACAATATAATACAATATATCTTGAGCCTGTCTTGTAAAGATGTTTTAATCCTTTTTCATGCTGCTTTGGTTTTAAAGCATGTGTTTTTAATGTAGCTTGCGCGATATTACCATTCAATAAACCTTTGCATTATTTGGAGCAATCTGTTGTATTTGTTGCCTGTTCCATCTTCCAGGAGCATGGTTTGCATTACCTTTAGTTGCATGGGATAGCATTCTTTTGCATTTCCCCAGGGTTGCTACAATCTCAGCTGCACTCTGAAAGTTAACAGCATTAGAGGCTAGAAAGCCCCTTTTTGCAGCTATTGGTTTAGAAAGTATCTCTTTGGGTTTAGAGTCCGCCCTTTTTCCTGGGTTGAGGTCTCCATTTTGGAATCTCCCCTGCCTTCTTCAGTTGAGAAAAAAAGCTTCAGATGTGCTGTTGGTCAGGCAGGTAACTCTGAAAAAACCATTGTAAGAACGATTGAGTTATATAGATAAAGAAGCTAATTGAGATAGATAGATAGATAGATAGATAGATAGATAGATAGATAGATAGATAGATAGATAGATAGATAGATAGATAGATAGATAGATAGGTAGGTAGGTAGGTAGGTAGGTAGGTAGGTAGGTAGGTAGATAGGTAGATAGAATAGCAATTGAGCAATTGAGTTATAGATAGATATTGAGTTATTGAGAAATAGTTATTGAGCACTATTTGCTTCATCTCCAAAACTAACCTTGGGTTGGAATAGGGAAGGCCTACGCTTTCTAAAAGAGAGTGTCTCAGGTTTGGGGTAAAAAGATCTCAGGATTTTTCCTTCCATTTGGATGAAGGCAGCTCA